CCCACGGGTACCCGGCCCCTCGGCCCCAGCGGACCCGGCCCCTCGGCCCCACGCGGACCCGGCCCCTCGGCCCCACGCGTACCCGGCGGAACTTCCGGCACAGACTGTCGAACGTCTCCAGCTGGCTCTGCCGACCCACGTTAGGCTTGTACACGGTGAAGTGCTTGCCGCGGTTCTGCTCGGCCAGGAGGCAGCTCAGCTTGTTGCCCCGAACCTGGGGAGGCATGCGCATGGGGCGGGGAGGCGGGAGTTGCTTCCCTCCCTCCCATGCCCCTCCCCTGCCCACTCCCCTCCACTGGGGTCTTGCCCCTGGAGACCCGGGAGGCCACCCAGCCGCCCACCTTTAAGGAGAGGTAGAAGCCATCGTTGGTGCCCGTCAGCTCCAGCGACCGGGCATAAGCCTCGTCCCACTTCAGGCCACGGTCCACACTGATCTGCAAGAGCATGAGGGCTTAGAGCAGCCGAGGGGCCCTGGCGGTGGGGCCGGGCCTGCGTGCGCTGGGAGGGTCTGTGTCTCCTCACCTTGTAGAAGACCACCTGCCCGTCCTGTGGGTGCCCGGGGGCCAGGAAGACCTGCTGGCTTTCCTCATAGATCTCATCGATGCCTGGAGCCAGGTCTGTGCAGAGGACGTGGAAAGGACATGTGGGGGTGAGACCCTCCCGCCTGCCCCCCCCCAAGTCCTGGCTCGCTGGGTCTCAGCATGCCCTGAGGTCCCGTGTGGCTCAGCAGGCTCCAGGCTCTGGGCTTCACGGGGCTGTCAATCCCAAGTTCTCGGGTACACCCAGAGATGCCCACCAGGGAGCACAGTGGAGGCTTCCCCCAGCAGAGATGGCCTGGACCCGACCCTACCCGGCACCCTGGATGGCAAGTGGCCCCTCCAGTGGTAGCCTGGGGTCCAACGCCCCCCTCCCCCAGCACCTGCTGGACACTCACACTCGGTGTGACTACAGACAACATAGAGCCTGCTCTGCATGGCTGTTGTGGGGTGGTTATGTAAGAGTCAGCAAACTCTACCTGCCACTGATTTTATGAATAAAGTTTTATTGGCACATGGCCCCGGCCATTCATTTTCCAAGTGTGTGCTTTCACTACCAGGGCCAAGTTGAACACTCAGAGACTGGGCCCCAAAGCTGAAAATACTGACTCTGGCCTCTTCCAGGAGGGTTTGAAGCCTCTGGGTCCCTGCTGTTCTTGGTGAGGACGTGGCTTGTGGGGCAACGAGAGCAAACGTGTCAGGCTTACCACCATCACACGAAGCGTGCCAATATATGCCTCCCATCTAAATAAAACTCTCTAGTCCTTGGGCCACACCCAAGAAGGGGGGCCCTGTGGTCCCCCAGCACAGGACAGCACTCGGCTGCAGTAGCGCCCCCTTCCCTGGAATCTTCGTGACGCCCCAAGTCCTGTACCTCCAAGGCCCTCCGGGTGGCGTACGGGGGTGCGGACTGCCCTGCATGGCCTGCCTCTCCATCTGATGGGAGGCTGGCGCTGGGTGCCAGGGCCACTCCCTGCTCTGCCTGGGGCGAGGGTGGGGGGTGGGGGGTAGAGGCTGCCCCCCACTGTGGCCCTCACCCAGAATGCCCATGTCGTATTTGCCCTCCTTCTTGTCCATCTCGATGAGGTGGTCAAAGGTGTCCGAGAAGTACTGGAACAGCGCGTTCTGCTTGTGCACCTCTAGCCCCAGGATGCGGTTCAGGAACTTGGTGATGGAGCAATCTGGTGGGCAGGTGGGGAGGGGGCTCAGGCTGTGTCAGGAGGGGCCTTGCCTGGGAGGCGTGGGGGCCTTCCCGCTGGGGGGCTGCATACAGGACTCACCCTTCTCCACATCCAGACAGCCAGACCTGGACTCGCGCCCACCGATGCCAACGGACAGCAGGCCCTGCTTCATGTCTGTGGAAGAGAGGGCCTCGAATGTGTGCTGCTCGCCCCTCTCCCTCCCCAGCCAGCCCGGGGTCCTCCTTGCCACCGGTGCCCCCTTGGTAAGTGTGTGTGGGAGGAGTCTGCCCCAAACAGCTCAGGGCCAAGCTGCCCCACGCCCTGGAGACCCTCACTTGCCCCCAGCTCACCCCGGAAAAAGGCGGCATCTCCTCCGGGGTAGCCCTGGGGCAGTGGCACCTTGTTCTCAGTCTGGCTCAGGATGGTGGTAAGGACGCAGCTGAGGGCCCGGGCGCCGTACTGAGTGGAGGGGTGAGGGGGGTCAGGAGGGCCTGAGTCAGAGGCTGGCCTGGGCATGGGACTTGTCCCCTGCTGCCCCCGGCCCTCCCCAGGTACCTTGTTCTCAAAGTTGTATTTGCTCAGGTCGCGGGACTCAGTAGCACGGCGGTCCCCATGGGTCAGAGCCCCCTGCTCGGGGTCGGGGTGGGGAAGGCCGTCACGAGCTGCCCCTGCGCTTCCGGCTGTCCCGCTGCAGCCCTCCCTTGGGGAGCCGCCCACCCACTCACCAGGCTCTCCAGCCGTTTCGCAACAATGGAGGCAAACCTGCGCTCCCCAGCCAGCTCAGAGATGAGGAAGATGTACTCGGGGGCAGAGACCTGGTTGGACCTGTGGGTCCGGCCTGAAGGCAGAGAGGGCTCTCAGGGACCAGCGGCGGAGGGCAGGGAGGCCCGGGGCGGTGCGGCCTGGGCTGGGGCTCACCGAACTGCTGGATGGCACGGTCAGCGCTCCAGGGCAGCTCGAGCGTCATGTGGACCCGGCGCCGCTGGTTCTGGACGCGGCGGTCAGCTTGGAGGGAGATGCCGGAGCTGGAGGCCTCGGAGATGATCGCCACGAGCTGGGGGAATGCAGACGGGACAGTCTGTGCCCTGCAGACCTCGCCTGGGCCGCCGGGGCTCGTTCAGGGCGACCCGCACAGAAGGCTGACGTGGGTGCCCGTGGGGGAGCCCGTGTGGGCTGAGAATGGAGTCTGGGCCACTCCCGGCCGCCCCTGGACAGAGCGGAGCAGCCCGCCCTGCCCACCGCAGCTCTCCCAGGAGTTTTGAGGGAGGGCCTCAGAGAAGCCACCGGGCAGTGACGGCATGGGTGACAGTGCCTGAAGGCTGGGACGGCCAGGGAGACCTGTGGGGGCCCCGGCCAGGCACACACGCACACCCACACATACCCACAGTCACCACCACACACGCATGTGCATGATACACACAGACCCAGCAGGGGCTGCAGGACTCTGGTCCTGGGGCCGGGCCCCCCAGGGTCCTCACAGGCTTCCCCCGACACTGGGGGGACGCCTGTTGACAGAGCCCATTCCCGGGGCCCCCCAGGCCCTACAGGCCCCACCTCCATGGCCCCCACCTTCTCCCCACTCATGAAGCGCTCCTTCTCCCTGAGGTTCACGTGGTCGATGGAGAGGCCTTGCTCTGCCCGAGACTCGAAGGCCACTGTCCCGTCGGGCCTGGACACCACGCGGCCCTTCCTGCCGGTCATCTGGGGTTGGGGGAGAGGGAATGAAAGTCAGCTGGTGTGGCCATGCAGGGGCTGGTCCCTGCAGGCCTATTTCCCTGCCTCCCCACCTGAGTGTGTGTTAGGGGGGCTTCGGACCCTGGGCCAGGACACAGCCTCCACCCTGGGCCCCGGCTGCCCATGAGGCAGACAGCAGGATGTTCACTCCACCCTGTCTTCTATTGTAAAACGGCTGCCTGGGGCAGAAACAAACCTGGGTTGTCACCACAGGACATCCCAGGAAAGGGTCCAGTCGTGCAGCTGGAGAGAACAGGGAGGGGACACGGGGACAGGCGTGGGACCCAAGAGCGCCCCCAGAGGCCCAGGGGCACATGAGGGTGTGTGGGGAAGGTGGGTGCAGAGCTGGGCTGGGGAGCAGGGGGCTGGGCGTCCATGGCTGAGGGAGGAGAGTAGTCCGGCCTCGTGGGCTGGACAATGGATGCTGGACCCTGGGTCCTCCCCGTCCCAAGCCCATCGCACTGTGCAGGGTGGGGACTTGCGGTGGCCACCAGGGAGCCTCAGAGCCTGCATCTGGGTGGGGGCCCCCAAGGAGCTCACCTCGGCCACTCGCTCCGGGCCTCCGAGCTGGTCGATGAGCTCATCCAGAGTGTTAACAGGCAGCTCCCGGCCCAGCACCCGCACCTTGGCCAGCAGGTCCTGCTTTAGCCGCTCAACACGCTCCAGGATGCCGGGGCCGTGTGGGTCCCGCTGCAGGGGGCACAGGGGCCCTGCAGGGCCGGAGGGTCAGGGGCACCAGCCGGCCCACCTGCCCACAGCCCCGCTCGTGGCAGTGGACAGGGGGGCCCTGGGGGGTGGGGCACAGCTGGTGCATGGGAGGGGTAGGGGTCCGGGACGTTCTCCCTCACCCCAGACTGCTGGCGTGAACCCGCTCTGCCTCTGACCAGCAGCTGGCCCCGATGGCTCTCTGAGCCCGTCTTCCCCGTCTGACGCTTACCGCGGTCATCGGCCGGCAGCCCGACGGCGTCCAAGATGACCACGTCGTCGTCCAGCACGGACTCGGGGGAGGAGTGGAAGTCACTGTCCAGGCCGGCGTCTGACTCCGTGCTGCTGTCGTCACTGATGCGGATCACGCCTGCCGCCTCGCACGCCAGCCTGGGCGCCTTGACCCCGCGGCCCCGGGGCCGCCCTGCGCACAGACAACCAGGCTCCCTGAGGCCCGGCTGCTCCTCCCTCCCGAGGGGCCCAGCTCACGGCGACTCCCCGCGTGGGGAAGGGGGCCGTCCGAGCCAGGCGCCATGTGCTGGGACACTTGCGGCCTGAGCCTCTCGTCTGCCCAGCTTTGGGCTGCTCTCCTGGGCCCTGCTGTGGGACAGGGCATGGTGGAAAGCGGCACTTTTAACATCCCCATCCGATTTCCTAACACTTCAGCTTATCCTTGGCTGGTGCCTGGGGGGCCACACGCCTGACCTCACAAGGCCAGCCTGGGAAGGTCCCGAGAGGAGGGTGGTCCAGGCACCCACATGCCCTGCCACGGTCCAGGATGCCCCAGAGGCCGGTCCTGGGAGGCGAGAGGGGGACTGTGTCCCCCAGGTCTGGCTGTGTGACCTCAGGTGAGTTGCTTGCCCTCTCTGAGCCTCACTTCCCACGATGAGCTGATGCTCAGCCTCCGCTGGAAGAAGGGTAACCTCTCCATCCTGCGATGCTCTTCACGAGCCCCATCGTGTCCCACGCGGCTGGCATGGTTTAGCCGCAGGGCTGGTTTCCGCCGAGGAAGCACGAGGCTGTGTACTAGAGTCTTAAGCTCCCCCCACCCCGTCCCCATCTGGGGGTGATGCTGGGGGCCACAGGGGTGAAGCTGCTGAGACGAGCTGAGCACACCCAGCCTGCAGCACTGGCTTCTGGCTTCTCGCTAACTTGGCCCTGCAGGGACCCGTGTCTCCTAGACACGCAGTGCAGCCTACGGGCTCCTGCCCGCCCGGGGCTCTCTCTAGGGAGGCTGCGCTGAGCTGCCTCTGTGCCTGTCCTCCCTGGACAGATGGGGTGGGTGTCATGAGTCAGGCCTGCAGGGAGACAGAAGCCCCCAGCCCGGCAGGCTGCGCAGCAAGCAGCAGAGAGGGGCGGCTGCTCAGACAGGAGCCAGGCCGGAGGGAAACCGGGCAGGGCCACAAGCCAGGCTGTGCGTGGGTCAGGGATCAGAGGCCGGCGGGGGGGCGGGGGGGGCTTACGTTTTCTCTTACTGCCTGCTCCTCTCTCTCGCTTTCTTTTGGTTGAAGGAAAGTGCTTCTGAATGAGTGACAGAAAGACACCCCTGAAAGCAAGAAGCAGAATTTATTCCCACCACAAGGAGGGTCATGCTGTCCAGCAGGAGACTCGGAGGAGCGTCGGCCCGTGTTGGGGCTAGCTCTGCGGGGGGCGCCCAGTGCCCGGGGTCCAGAGAGGGCAGGCGGGGGCAGGGAGGCAGCTGTGCGGACTGTGGAGGAGGGGGAAACGGGGCAAAGGGTCCAAGGCTGCAGGGGTGCAGTTTTACTGGGAAGGCCTGAGTGTGGGGGGCGCCGGGGTGAGGCTCCCTCCTTCCAGCCATCGGGGGGCCCTGCCTGCACAGTCTTGCCACCTCTGAGGGATGCTGGGCCCGGGAGGCCTTCCCAGCCCCAGGAAGGGAGGCCTGCCGCTTCGGGGACCCCAACATCTGTGCATTCCCTGGAACAGCGCCACGCCCACTGTGGGGGGTGGCCACCTGGAAGCCCCGTGCTGAAATCCCGGGTCCCTCTGCCAGCACCCCCTGAGCCCTGGGGTCACCCGTGGCTAATCTTTCTGGTTTTAAAACTGGAGCGTGGCCCATATTCTCTGGGGGCTGGGGCTGGTGTCCGAGCAGATGCACACCTAGGCTCCCACGGCTGGGGTCACAAGACACGGGCTGTCACGTGGGGGGAGTGTGGGGAGGGGGACTGTCCCAGGAGTGGCTGCACCACCCACCCTGGGGGCCGTGAGCATCACTCACTCAGCAGCAGAGACAAAGCAGTCGAGCTGCCCATCCTTCTCGTCCAGCACCTCCCGGGTCCGAGCCTCGCCCGTGGACTGCAGCCCGATGACCACACACTTGGGGGGGGGTGGGGATGGGGGAGCAGGGGTGAGCTGGGCTCTGGGACCCCCACCAGCCATCCCTGGAGCGTGGCCCCAGAGGGGCCCATAGGGAAACCCCAGGCTCCCAAGCCCAGCCCCTGGTAGTCAGAAACCCAGAGTTGGCCTCAGTTTCTCTCTCTTTCCGCCCCTTCTGTCCTGTTGGCTGCCAGGCCCCCGGCGCACCCAGATCCACCCTAGAACTCCATAGAGCAGTGGACAGCCGCCCTCAGCCCTCCTGGACCCTCTCCGTTATTCTCTGCCCTGGCTCCTGCCCAGTTCTTTCTGGGGACTTGCCAGGCCAGCCTGGACATGGAGAACTGGGGGCAAGGCCACGCCTGTCACCTGCTTCAGGGGAGCTGGGTCAGGCAGGACCAGAACCTTCTGGGCCTCGGCATCACCGGTGCCACACCCTGTCCTCATAGTTTCAGGCAGACACACAAGGGTGCAGGGGTCCCGGCGTAACCGCAAAGCTCTCGAGAGGACCAGGGCAGAGTGTCCGGGCAGCCCTGCAGGTCCAGCCACTGCGTCTCCCAGCTCACCTTGTCCTGGGCCAGCTCCTCTCGGGCCAGCTCCACCAGCCGGTGCACTTTGGCAGCAACGCAGAGATACTTGAAGAAACGCTGGTGAGCCGACCAGAACTGACCCCACAGGGACTTGCGAGACTCGAGGCCGATCCAGTCGGCTGCCTGCTGGAACACGCCCAGGGCCTCGGCCCACTGCAACGACATGCCCGGCTGAGCCTGCTGCTGCCCACGGCCACCCGGCTCCCACCCCAGACCGCCAGCCCCCACCGGCTGAAATTTGTGGCCGGGGGTGCGGGGATCGGAAGCTGAGCAACACAGAGGCACTGCTGACACCTGACGGTAAAAACGTTAACAAGCCGAAGCGTGCGATGCTGGCCAGGCCACGGTGAAGGTGGCATGCTCATGAGAAAGGGGTGCGGACATCCACAATGACCGCCACCTGCCCGCAGCCCCTGGGCCCTTGATACTGCAGACCAGGGCGGCTCACCTGGGGTACCCCTGCCCCAGGGACCGGGGCCACGTCTGGGGACAACTGTAGCATTCGCAATGGGGGTGCTCCCGGCATCAAGGGGGTGGGACCAGCGCAGAGAACGACCCATGGGGCGTGCGGAGATGGCCCTCCGGTTTGAACTAAGAACACCACCTACAGCACTGTCAGGGCTGATGCTCAGGGCCTGTCCCGGGTAGGGGACCTGACAGCGAGAACAAGGGAGCCCGTCCACACGCAGGAACAGCAAGGAAGATGAGACCGAGCCACAGGCACAGAGACGTGGACGCTGAAACCTGCCACAAGCTCTGGGAACAACGCGCTCCTAATGTGGTGGGAAGGCTTGCTGGGGGCCTGGTACATGCCCACGTTATTCCAGCCACAGAGGAGCTCCCCACCCGATCACGACGCTGGTCTCCAACCAGAGACCAGACGGGCAGGCCAGCCGCTTCCTCCTTTCTGTAACCCAACAAATGCCCGTGGGGCCGAGAACAGATGCTGAAGGTGACGAGAGCATCATTCCGACGGGAAACGCACACGTGTGTCCATGCAGTCAGAGACCGCTGGCCGCCCAGCTTACCAGCAGGGCCGCACGGTTGTAGACACGCTCGAAGGCTGGGGCCAGTGGGATCTCCTCGATGCGGAAGGTGACGCCGGAGAAGCTGAGCTGGCGAGCAATGTACATGCCGCTGACCTTCATGTCCATAGCCACGATCTCCATGGCACCCACACCCCTGTGGACAAAGACAGGGCCACCCGATCACGTGCTGTGTCCCACTCAGCAACAGAGTGACTCGGGGAGGGGCTGAAAGCAGGAGCTGAGGGTGAGGAAGGGCCAAGTGAAGAGGGAGTGGAGGGAGCACGTGCAAAGGCCCCGTGCTCTGATCTGCCTGAGCCGGCGGGGCGGGGGGGGGGGAGGCATCAAGACACTAGAGTTCCCTGGTGATTCCAATGTGTAGCCCATCTTGAGAACCACTGTGACAGGAACCTGAGCCGGCGGGGGGGGGGGGGGGGCAGGAAAAGCAGGGAGGGGCTCCTTCCCCTAGAGTGATGGGAAGCACTAGGCAGAGAAAGATGAGATCCCTCTGGTTGCTGGACGAGTGTGGGCCAGGATGTGGAGCCAGGCCCCAGTGTGTGAGAAGCAGTGCCCTCTGTGGGTCCCTTGCCAGCCCGTCTTGGGCAGGGAAGGGCACCCACCTCTTCTCGATGGCGTGCAGAAACTCCTCGAAGGTTCGGAAGGGTGTACCGTCGCCCCAGATGCCCAGGCGGCTCATGTAGATCATGTTCCGGGGCTCGGAGGCACCTGGGGTGGGGAGCTGCTGTCAGCACCTCTAACCCAGCAAGGTCAGGGCCCGGGATGCAGCCCCAGAAGAGAGCTGAGGGCCAGATGAGGAGGCCGCCCCCCACGTTCCCACCTGTGGCGCTGGCGTAGACCACTCTGGCCAGGGGCAGCTTGTTCTGCAGGTCCAGGACGGCCTTGCCCATCTTCGTGGAGCTGGCATTCTTGGCTTTGTGGCACTCATCAAACACAATCTCGAGTGGGTGGGGGTTAAGGAATGTTCCGGAAGGCAGGCAGCCCCACAGGCCCTGGCCTGACACCCCAGGGGGAACTCAGCTTGGTGCCCGGCCCCCATCAGGGCAAGTGGGAAACAGCCTGTGGCCCCCCGCCCCCCACTGCTGACGGACACTGACGGGCAATGGCTTGGTGAAGACATTAGGGAGCGCACACCAGCGAGCACAGAGGAACGGGGTCTCTGAGTGAGAGGTGCTGGGGTCTCTGCGTCACTCCCCACGCACACTGAAGATCTGGAGCAAACAGACTACCGCATGGAGAGAGAAGTGGGGGAAGCGGGGTGCAGGCAAGTGTATGGATCATGAACCTATTTGACCAGCCAGGGGCGTGGTTACACACTTGTGTGCTCGCGTGCAGGTGGTGGACGGGTCAGGTTCACGGGGGGTCTGTGAGCACAAGACCGAGAAGCAGGAATGTGGAGGCAAGCACAGCCCTCGGGCAGAGCGCTGCCGTGGGGGTGTTCTGCAAGCTGTCGTTTGCCCCAGGCCGTGCCAGTGGCCTCCGGTCCCTTCTCTGGCACGTGGGCGCTGTTCTGGAGGACAGCAAGGGTCTGGCCACAGGACACCTGGGAACTTGCCCACATGAACTGAAAGGACATAGAGGGCCAACGTCCTTCTGATCTGTGACTGGACCAGGAGCGAGCAGGATTTTCGGAGAGTGCCGGGTGGCCTGGGGGCCAGTCACCCCAGTTCTGGGAACGGGCCCAAGGAAAGTGAGAAGGGGTGATGGGGCATGCAGGCCGGGCCGGATCACTCAGGGCTGTTTAGAGCAGGGAGGCTGGAAACCACCAGCATGTCCCTGAGACGGGGCAGGCTGGCGTGACAAGCTGATGAGCAAACATGCCCGGCCTCAGGCAGGGTGGAGAAGAGTGACGTGCCCGGTACACAGGGGCCCACTTCTGGGGACAGTGCACAGGAAGATGGCCCCTTCAGTGAGGGCCAGGCCCTGCCCCAGAGCACCAGCAGCAGTGTGGAGACGGCCATGCACACCAAGGGGCAGGGTGCCCTGCTGTCTGAAGGCCAGAGGACCCTCAATGAACACCAGTGCAGGAGACCCCAGGACACACTGTGGACCCCCACCGGGCGCTCACTGGGGGAGGCTGAGGGGGTCTGCTTGCAGGGCGCTGCTGGGCCTGGCATGTGCGGCAAACACGCAGCAGCACACGACCCACACTGGGCTGTCCCGCTTGTGCTCGGACCTTCTCCGTGCTGCCAGGGAAACTAGAAACCCCTCCAATCCTGGGGCTTTCTGTCGGGAAGGGCCTGGAGCCCATACGGATTCCAATACGGACCAAGCGGTCAGTAGAGCCCCCCCCAAGCCCCAGCAGCCCCAGCAGCACAGTCTTTGGCCCAGCTGTCCCCTAGCTGCCCCAGCCTGGCCTGCCCACCCCCAGTGAGCCCCGGACAAGTGGAGGGGGAGCGGGGGAGGGAGAGGAGGGGAGGAGGCGCTCTCTGCCCCAGTCCTAGAGCCACAGGCACCTTCCCGCCCTTGGGGCCCCTCCCCACGCTGTCACAACAAATACTGCCCCCACGCCTGTGGTCAGGGGTCCAGCTTGCTGGAGCCGGGAAGCCGAGCCTGACCGCAAGAGGACAACAGCGGTCAGTGAGGGCGAGCCTCCTGCCGGGAATTCCTCCAGCTTGTGGGGGGGAGGGAGGAGGTCCCGGGATTCCAGGACGCGGCCCCTCCTTTCGACCCCACTCCCCTGCCCCCTTCCAGACCCCACCCTCTCGCTTTCCTGCCCTCCTGGCGGCCCCGCCCCTCCCTCCTTTAGAGCCCTCCTCCTTCCCCCGATCACCCCGCCCCCTCCAGCCCCCTCCAGCCCCGCAGCGGAGCCAGGATACGACTCCGTCGAAGGCCTCCCCGCACCACTCCAAGATCTGGCGGATGCGCGTGCGGTGCTGCCCGCCGGCCTGGCTCTCCCCGATCAGGGCGGAGTAGGTTGCGAAGAGGACGCCCTCTGAGGTAGTGTTGTCGCCGTACTTGATCTGGAGGAGCGGGGAGAGTGTGGGGGCGCGGCCGGCCGTGCCGCTGGACCCCACCCGAGGAGGGGGCGACCCCACCCACCTTGCTCAGCGCGTGCACCGCGATGCCCGGGGCGTCGATGTCCCGCAAGTCGCGCTCTGCGTCATACTTGAGATCGTTGGAGACGCTGAACCTGGGGGTGCAGTCTGGTGGGTGCCACAGCGCCCCCTCCCCTCCTTGCCCGCCTGCGTGGGGTGGGGAGAGCACACTCACCACAGGGACTTCTTCCGGCCCCGCAGGTAATTCTCCAGGATGATGCCGGCCACCGTACGCCCCTTGCCCACGCCGGCGCCATCGCCAATGAGGAAGCCGGCCCGCTGCCCGCTGGGGAGCAGTACCTCGTGTTGCTGTGGGCCAAGGGAGGGCGGTCAGGACCTGGCAGGCTGCCCCTCCCCGGGGCCTTGAGGGCACCCCACACAGGATGTGGGCTGGATGGGAGACCCCAGGTCACCTGGCAAGCATAGGTGATGGCCTCGAGCTGCAGGGCGGACAGGGCCCCGCTGTCGGAAGCAGGCAGGGCAAGGGCGTAGGTGATGTCTGGCGGTGGGACGCTGGACAGCGTGCTGGTCTCCACCACGCGGTCCGGATGCTGCTTCCCGATCTTAGCTGGAGAGGCATGGCCAGGGGCACGTCAGGGGTGTGGCCAGGGTCTAGGATGGGCTGGAGAAAGCTTCCAGAAGGCAGAGGGGCAGAGCAGGCTCCAGGGTAGGGGGCCCATCAGTGCTTTGCACAAAGGAATGGGGGGCAGATCCATAAAATCCTGCCCAGGGAAGAAGGTGGCCTTACTTTTCATGGTACCCTCTGTGGTATTTCCGGTTCTGTGCCAAGTGGGGATTACAGAACTGCCCCCAAGGCCAGCCCACAGCTGCCAAGCCCGCTTTGCCGCTCCAGAATCCCGGGACCCAGCCAGCAACCCCCACCCCGCCCCTGCTATGGCTGGAGCCCGCTGGGGCTGTGCAGGCCTGTCAGCGGCTTGCTAGGGGCTTGGGCAGGGCACTCACATTTGGACGGCACGTAGTCAGCGTAGGTCTCTGTGTGGCCCAGCTCCTCCCCCTCATCCTCCTCTGCCTCATCTTCCTCCTCAGGCTGACTCTGAGACTGGAGGTCAGTGCCAGAGTGTAGTCAGGGCTGGATGGCCCTGTCCTGCCCCGCACGGCCAGCCTTCCCCCAAGGGCCAGCCAGCCCAGTGAACAGGAGTGGGGAGTGGCCCACCTGACCCCCAATGCGGTGCCTCCCCAGGGCCTGCTTCCCCATCTATAAAACGGGCAGACCCTGCTTCTGTAAACAGGTGCCTCTGAGTGTCCTAGTCCCTACAAGAGGCAGGCAGGACTGAGGAGGGGGTCCAGCTTACCTGGTAGCTGACAAGAAGTGGGGTGCTGGAAAGGGAGGACACGGGGTCCTCAAGGCCTGTCCATGGCCCACTGGGCAGGAGCAGCTAGAGGGGAGAGTGGACATGAGCCTGCAGGCAAGATGTGGGGAGGAAGCGCCCCCGTGGGCCCCCTTAGCCTGGCCTCCAATGGGGTTCTCACACTATCCTCATGCCCCCCAGCCCACGGCCAGCTGCTTGCCTCCTTCCTGCTACCCGGCGGCTGGCTCTTTTGAGCAACAAGCTACAACCCCCATCACGCAGATAAATGTAGTAAGGACATGTCCCACATCCCAGATCATAGTCGTGCCCTGGGGAGATCGATCACCTGAGTCTGGTCCCAGGGGACCAAGAACCTGGTGGACAAAGCTGGTGCCTGGGGGGAGTCCATCGGCCATGGGGGCATGAGGCCCACCTGGCGTCAGAACTCATGTGGCATCCAGAGCCCACAGATGGTCCGGGACAGGAGACCCAAACCCTCGACGACCATGTCACACCTGGCCCTCCACCTACCCTCCCTCAGGGAGTGATCACACTGAGACCGGGTGGGGTGACTGCTCTGCCCCAGGACACACAGGAAGGACACACAGGGTCCCGACCAGATTTGTACAACTCCAATTAAAACAAAATAAAAATCTTAAAATAAAGTCTTCTTAAAACAAAAGTCACAAAAGTAGTGTGGGCATCCTAAAAACCCCAAATGTGAAAAACAAAACAGAAATGAAGAAATCCCTTCTAGACCCCGTCTCCTCTCGGACCCCACCATCCCAAGGCCTGTGACTGTGAGTGCCAGGTGCTCATTCCTGAGCACACACGGAGCTCGGGTGTCCTCTACTGTCGTGGGGGATAACAAGGGTCCCCAAGGCATTCGGTCGTGTGATAACCCACTTGATTTTTATGACTCCCGCCGTTTCCAAAGGTTAAGAACATGCCCAAGTTTTTTTTGAAAAGAAAAATGAGATGAAAGCGAGGCACCAGGAGCCAGAAACCCATACTCAATTCCCTGTCTCCTTTTTTTTAATTAACAAAAACAAACAGCCTCGGGCCCGGGTTCCTGGAAGGCTGAGTCAGGGCTCCCGGTGGGCTGGCGAGCAGCAGGCTGTGGGCGCTGGGTTTCAGCCACCCTCCTGCCGTCCACTTCATGCGGCCTCTGCCTCACGTTCTCCACCAAGGAGCCAGGGGCTGGTCGGAGGCCCTTCAGCCCAGACACGGGAAGGGGGCCTGGGCTGTCCACCATGGCTATAAAAGACAGGGACCGCACCAGGCTGCCCTGGGCACTTCCTGTCCTTCTGCCGGCCCCACGCTGGGCCCCAGGCCTTCCAGACCCGTCTATTCTACCCCACCTCAGAGGGGCCGAAAGGTGCCGAGGAACCTCAAGGTGGCTGGGCAGGCATCGTGTCCACTAGCGTGTGCCACCAGCCAGGGCTCCGTGGGTGCACCCAGCTCTGGATGGAAGAGGCTGCTCTCCCTTAGACACATGTCTCCAAGGCGCCTTTCAGACCCTCGAACCAGGGTTCTGGCTCCCAAAAGCTAGGGGCTTCTCTTCCGGCAGAGAGCCCTGGACGGGACCTGGATGGGGTGGGGGCTCCCCAAGCCTGGCATTGGGCCCCGTCTCCCTCACCGATGTGCCTGCTGCCCGGTCCTGGGAATGAGCTACAGTCTGGGCCTGGCACACCTGGGGACCCCTCCCGTCTGGCCTCATGTCACCCACACTCCCCCATAGGGTCCTGCACGAGGAGCTTCACAGAGGCCAGCGCAGCACTCTGGGCTCCCGGGCTCCCACCTACTCAAAGCCAGGAGCAGCCCACCCCCTCCCCCCGCAATGCCTCCAGACATTGCCCAGGATCACCAGAGCGAGAACCAGTGCTGGAAGCTGCTTTTTGCTTGTCTCCCCAGCAGAGCAAGGTGCGGAGCCCGAGCCACCGAGACAGGGAGGGCGGTGCCTGACTGTGACAGGACCTTTGGCAGGAGGAGTGGTGAGGGGCCAGTACCGGAGCTTCCTCCCCCACCCCCGCCCTGCATGTTCTGGGCCGTGCAGAAAACAGGACCCCTGACCAACGAGCTCACTGGGGTCTCTGAACAGCTTGGATCTGCCCCCAGCCTGGGGCTGGGGCCCTGGGACAGCTGCCCAAGCAGAAGCCTCAGGGTGAGCTGACCTTGTCGTGGGCGGAGGGGCCGGTGCTCACATCCCAGATGGTGGGCACCTGGCTGAGGCTGTCGGCCGGCAGGAAGTCAGGCGTGTCCGCGATGTCTGAGAGGGAGTCCACGGACGAGGAGAAGATGGAGGCGTTGGAGAGGTCGTCGAGGTACACGGAATCCTGGAAGACGGGCAAGATGAGAGGCAGCCGGTGTGTCCGGGGGGCCTAGGCACATGACTGACACTCCCACCACCAGCAGGAGCCAGGCGCCCACGCGCGCTGCCCCGGGGACGGACCCGAGCCCACGACGCTCAGGGAGGGACCCAGACACGGAAGGCCACGCGGGGTGTGAGTCCACGTGGGTGACACGTCCAGAACAGGCTCATCCGCGGACGGGAAGGGGGCTCGCGGGGGCCTGGGGGCTGGGGAGTGACGGCTGATGGGGATGGGGCTGCCTTTGGGGAGACAGAATGTTTGGGAATTAGGTGACACTGGGAGCATGTGACCCCAGTGCACGGATGTCAGGACATGGAGAGCCCCACACCTTGAAGGGGGGAGTGTGCCGTTACACACTGTTTAGAAACGTAAATTTAAAGAATTTAAATGCCAGGGATGGTCCCATGCTGCCCTCCCCCCACCCCTGGGTCACAGACACTGAGCACCCATGTGTACCCGGCTTGCACCGGGCACCGGGGACACTCGCAGACCAGCCCTGAGGGCTCCTGGACCAGCAGGGAGTGCGCCCCCAGCCCAAGACCCCCACATACTGCCAGGCTGGGTTGTGGTGTCCATGCCGCCGACCACCAGGAGAGGGCAGTAGGCGTCCACCTCACAGACAGGGACCCTGAGTGCCTGAAGCTGGGGAGGGGGCAGCCCCTTCCAATTCCCTGAGCCCCTGCGGGCCCAGATCAGGGGGTGAGGGGCACAGCCCTCAGCCAGCTCCTCATGGGGAGGGAGCCCCCACAGACCCTCCCAGATGAGGCCCGTCCAGCCAACCTCCACGGCAGAGGGCCCGGTCACGCTGACTCAGGACATTCGGGGGGGCATTTCATGAGCAGAACTGGGGGCTGGTGGGGCTGGATGAGGCCACCTGTAGGAGCAACGGAGAGCTGCCCTCCAGGAGTCCCCAGGCCCTGGCACCCCTTATACATCTCAGCCTGCCAGGGCCATCGGAGGGCTGGGGCCAGCTGGGCTGAGATGCCAGCACACTAACCACTGGGGGACGGTGAAGTAGGCAGGGCTGGCCGGGGGGGCGTCTCGGACTCTGGGGAAGAAGGAGACACATGGGCCTGGAGCCCGCCCTGAGGCACCTGGCTCAGGCCCCAAGACCACAGGTAAGCTGGCTTCTGGGGGTGGAGGACAGCATCCCTGCGGCCCCCAGGTCACTGAGAACAGGCCGCCGGTCCTGGCTGGTGCTGGGGCTGCCCCCCTCCACCCGTGAGGGCTCCCCTCCCGTTAATCGTGCTGGAATCAGATCCCTGCTCTTGGTGGTGGTGACAGTGGGGGTCCCCCGGTGATACCACCCAGCTTCCTGAGGGTCTGCTAGGACACCAGAGCGCACACAGCCCCAGGATGAGGCAGGTTCAGGCCTGCTGTGCAGTGCCCCTCGGAAGGTGTGGGCAGGGATGGGGCCAGGCCTCCCTGAGGGTGGCTGGATGCAGGAGTCTCCCTACTGCATGGGGTTGGTCCCACAGCCAGGCTGGGACTCAGGGTCTGTGCAGGAAAGACCACCCTTGGCCAAGTCAGCTGGTGTGACGCTGGGTGCCTTGACTGGATACTTCCTGCCACCTGCCGGTGCCCTGGTGGCTGACAGCATAAGGGAAGCCAGAGGGGCACCACTCGCTCCTGGCCCCAGGCCGCACCCAGCCTGGACCCACGGGAGCAGACCCTGGCAGGACCCGACAGCCTGGGCAAGTCTGGGCGAGGAGGCAGATTCTGGCTGGCAGGACCGGCTCAGGCAGGCAGTGGCCTGGGAAGGTTTGTAAGTCCACAGCACGGGGACAGAGGCAGGAGGGAAACACCAACCCCAGGGTGGGGAAAGGCGCATCTCGACACTCCTTGGGATGCCCAGCACCCTCATGTGAGAGCCCAGCAGCTCCGAAGGTCAGAGCAGCGATCTACGGGACGGGGGAGGCGCTCAGGGGGCAGTGGGGGCTCTGGCCCTGCGGACCGTGAGGCCCGCTCACCATTGTGGAGCAGCTGGTGTCAGAGCTGGGAAGGCTGGGCCACGGAAGCTGGCCGCTCGGTCCCTGCGAGGCAACATGGAGCATGGACCCCTGCGGGCTGCCTGGGGTGGGGTCTGGGTACGGGTGGCCAGCTGACTTTGCTAAACTCCCTCTGGAACCACATCTGGGCGTGGCCTTCCCAGAGGGCACCACGCAAGCCTGGTCAGAATGACAAGAGCCCCTGAGCCCATCAAGCTGGCAGCCCCAAGAGGCCCTGAGGGGTGGGTCTGCTTCCTGAAGGTGAAGCACTCACAAGCAGCAGGGTAGGCAGGTGGGGAGGAGCCCTGACCAGGGCCAAAGAAGAGGAATGGCACCTGGCAAAAGGTGGGTGCTCGGGGCCCCCCCCGTGGGGGCTGCACACAGCAACCCCTTCCCCCAAGGACGGACGGCGTGGCCCCGGCCAGGACACAGGGCCAGCGTCCGCAGGGAGGAGCCGCGTGGGCAGCGGGGACCCCGATGGGACGAACGCAGCCTGGGGACGTCCTGCGGGACCCCCGGCCAGCCCTCCTCTGACCGCCCAGGGCATCCACACAAGAACAGGGGACCCAGGGGACCCAGGGGACCAGCCTGGAGGGGCCGGAGCAGAGCGACAGCCGAAATCCCGTGGTGTCGGGATGGGGTCCCGGGACAGAGCGAGGGTCTCTGGTGAGCAACGAGGTGGCAGTATCTGCTCGTCAGCACTGACAAAAGCACCACGCTGATGTGACGGGGGGACAGAGGGCCTGGGCGTGGGGCCCGGGGGAACTCTGCGCCGCGCGGTAACTCGGCACACAGAACTGCTCCAACATCAAGGGTATTTAAAAAGTGGGAGGGTTCTACCCACTCTGGGGATGCCGCCTCCACCAGATTCTTGGGTCAAAGGGAGGCAGGGCCTCACGCGGTCACCAGGGGTCCCTCCCAGCCCCACTCCCGATACGGCGTGGGTGTCAGGATGGGGCGAGAGCTGACCCCTCCCAGGACGGCTACTCACCATCCACCGGGTCAGGTGGCCAGTGGCCAGTGATGCCCAGCAGCCACCAGCAGATCTCCAAGATGACCCAAACTCAAAATCACCCTCCATGGACACCCCTCCTCAGACCCCAGGCCCCCACCCTACTCCGTCAGCTGCAGCCCCTCAGTGGGGAGAGAGTGGGGTGGTCACCCTGACAGTTGCGGGGGACCACGGAGGTCACAGGGTTGCCTGCTGTGGATACTGTCTCTCAGCATTTTGGGGTTCCCTGGGCCAGGTGAAGACTTGGCGGGATCTGGTAGAGCTGCCAAACAGTGCCCTCGACTCCAGCCACAGACCAGGGGGACGGGACAGCATGGCCCTCACCCCAGACCGCACTCTGGGCCTCCCTCGGGGGAGCTGCAGCTGCTCAGCACCGCTCGGACCCCAGAAACGCCCTCTGGAGACAGGTTCTGTCCTGCTAGCCCTGGTTGGGGGCTGGATGCCTTCCTGGATCCCTGGGGAGCCCGAGGAGGGACGGAAGGACGGGGGCCATTCCTACCTGGCCACCCGCACTCCTCCAGCTCTGCCCCGGCCACCCCGGAGACTGTCAGGGCCCGGCCGCTGAGCCGCGGGGGGCTGGCCACCCTCAGGGCAGCCAGCAGGCGCAGCGGGGCGCAGAGGGGAAGGCGCTGCCGCCGTGAGGGGCGCTCCCGGAGCTGTGCTGCGCGCCCCGGTCCCCGCGGCCCTGGCTGGCTGCGAGCTCCCGCGGAAGGCGCTGGCTGCCGGCGGGCGGGAGCGAGCAGCGCGGAAGGTTACCTTGTTGAGGGCTGCGAAGTGCAGCCAGAACTGCAGCTGGGACATGGCGCGGCCGCGGCGGGTCCCCTGGACGGCGGAGACGGCGGCAGCGGGCAGTTCCCTCATGACCGCGGCCGCGAGGGCCGCTCTCAGCCCGGCTGCATTTGCATGTTGGTTTAGTCACCGCCAGCGCCTACTTCCCCTAAGGCGGCTGACTTTCAGGAAATGATGGCTGCCTGGGAAGTCAGGGCGATTACTGGCAGAGCGAGAATTCCTGTACTGGGCGTCATCTAGCCACAGACCTCTCCACGGCGCTGGGCCCCCACCCGCCGGCGCACACCGGCCCTCGCCTCGGTTTCCCCAGACCGGGGTTCTGGCCAGCTGGGCCTGGCGGGGACCTGCCAGTGCTGCTCCTGGGGAGCCCAGAGAGTGAGAGCCACAGGCCCCCGTGCCCCGGGGGCAGAGGAAGGCCCGGCCCGCCCCTCAGGCCCCTCCACGCAGCCCCCTGGCGCGCACCGGGGGCCTTCACCAGCTGCCCCCAACCGCCCTAGAGCCTGTCTCCAGGGCCTTTCTGAGCTCCCCCAGGGCCTCTGTCATGCTGTGGCCCCAGCTGGGGTGCCGCCCTGCAGGAACCTGAGCCCCCACCCTGCTCCTTCTGCTGGAACCTTGCCAAGGGGTGTGGCTGTCCCTGAAACCCCCCTTCCTTCCTCTCCCTGCCTGCCCCTGCACCTCAGCCCCGCACAGAGAGCAGCAGGGCTGGTGGGCAGGGGAGTGCCAAGCCCTCCAGCACCCTGTGAGGTCAGAGACCTTGCACGAGTACCCCGTGGTGTCCTGTCCCATGGGAAACAACAGCTGCGTGGCTAGGCCAGGCTCCCTGCATGTGCTCGGGGTCAGGGACACCTGCGGGGCTCTGGCTGGGCAGGGACCCCGGGGCCGTGTGCCTTGTCAGGGACAGTGAGGGATCACAGGGTCCAATGCAATAAGGCCGCTGTGGCGTTCCTGTCCCGTCTGCACCTCAGGGCCTGCAGGCAGCGCAGCCCCCCCGCCTGGCCCCGGCACTGCATGGAAAAGGGAAAGCACCAGCTGCAGTGAGCTGGAGGACGCCCAGCACCGTCGGGCAGCGGGGAAATGCAAACCAGAGCCTGGAGACACCAGGACGGCCCGACTCCAACACCAATGACAAGTGCCGGCGAGGACGTGGAGACCTCAGAACCATCCGCCACGCCGGC